AGTACTGGTGATATGGTTGAGTACTGGTGATATGGTTGAGTACTGGTACAACTAACCCTTGAGGAATATGCGGCGTCTTTGTCCAGATAAGAACCAGTCTTACTTTCTTTGTTTCTATGACCAAATACAAAACAAATGCATCTTAAGGAGGAGGGCTCACTTTAACTCACATCAAGAGTCCAGGCCACTGTGGAGAGGACATAGGTGGCAGGAGCCTGGCTCAGGTCACATTGCAACCACAGCTGGGAAACAGAGCCATGAATGTTGATGCACAGATAGTTTTCCTTCTGCAAGCCAGTCCCCCAACCCATGGAATGGTGTCTCAGATATTTAGAATTTAGACTTCTCAGTCTGTAAAATTCCTCACAGACATGCTCAGAGATTGGTTTCTATGGTGATTCTATATTCTGTCAAGTGGAAAATTGATAGAGGGTAAACCACATATGAAATATGCATCTGTATTTCAGATCGCAACATAAAAGTATTCATGGAGTTCTGTTCATAAAGAGAAATAAGAGTAAAGCTGTTCATGGGACATGTGCAGACAGAACAGCCAGAATGGACAGATGACTAAAGCTTCATGAAGTTCAAGTTCAAACCAAAAGCCACCCTGCTTCCCCACTGAGCCCACCAGCTCTTCACTCATGTACCACTAGCAAGTATTTATTTTATGGCCCTCCATGTGGAAGGCAGTTCATTGTATGTATAAAACTAAATAAGACATAGTGCAAGAGAGGGGACAGTCAACCTGCAATTGTTGCTAGTGGAAGGCTCAAGGCACATGTTACATGGTTGTATTAATTTTTTTGTGGGCTCTCACAGTCCTTGAGAGAATAGCCATTTACTGGAAAGAATTAAAAATAGGAGACATGGAAGCTGAACTAATATTTCCAGGAACTTCTGTGATGATCACAAACATGCCTCTGTCACTTTGAACTATGTATTTATGCGAAGTAACATTGTAAGCATTGGTGGTTATAAAACTGAAATAGTGATTGACTCTGGAGAACATAGACGATTCCTTCCTTCCTACAGTACTGAAAAGGTTTTGTACTTCTTCATTTGTTAGTTTGTTTATGCACATCCAGGGTAGGAGTGCAAGTACCACGTGCATGCAAGTGTAAGTCACTGGATAACGTGGGAGTCAGGTCTCTTTGTCTACCCTGTGAATTCAAGGGATTGAACTTGGGTCGTCAGGCTTGGCTGCAAGCTCCTTTGCCCTCTGAGACAATTTACTGTCACAAGATTCAATTATTTACATAAAAAAAATATGTTCACCCATCTTATTAGTGTGAGAATTCACTTTGTTCTTTATGAATGGTAAGATAATACATATTCCTATGGTTTATCTTAAAATAAATACGATTTATTATTAGCAAATGTTTGATTTGAAATAGCTATTTTCAGGTAAAATTGGGCTGGAGAGAACAAGAATTCAGAAGCTCTGATTTAAGCTGCTCAATGGAAATTGGTGGTCATGAGTGTGTAAGAGTAAGAGAGGTGTGAGCTAGTGATGAGGAGACAGAGGGTTGGTAGAAATCCGTGGTCATGTGTGTGCAGGAGGAATGGAGCTATGAACTGGTGATGAAAAGACAGAAGGTTTGGTGAAAATTGGAGGTCATGAGTGTTCAAGAGGAAGGGAAATGTGAACTGGTGATGAGGAGACAGAGGGGTTGGTGGAAATTGGAGGTCATGAGTGTGCAAGAGGAAGGGAAATGTGAACTAGTGATGAGGAGATAGAGGGGTT